TAAAATTTCTAATAAAAATTTTTTCATTCAACACATATTCAAGCATAATTGAATGTAAAAAACAATTATAATATTCATCGATACTTAAACGTCGTATTTTGATATGGATTAATACTTGAAACTTTATCTCAGAACGCTATCACTTAAATAGGGGAACAAATCCAATTGATTTGATCTTATCACAGGAGCCGTGAAATGTAAGTGATGTAAACAGAGATATTTAATATTTGAATGACAACGGAATATGAATTAGGTATATAGAATTGAAGTTCTGCAATTAGTGCCTCATTGACCTAGTTCAAAGAATTTGAATCGATTCTGCACTAACTCGTAAATATGGTGGCAGATGAGGAATACATTCTCCTGCGGAAGAAAGGGCAGATGATGAAAATGACTCGTCATGCTCTTTCCGTTCAATGAAAAGAGAGATGAAATCGTATAATGTTAAAGCCAGAGGCAATCTGATTTCTTATTAATTTCGATTTAGTCTTTTGACGTTATTTTGCAAGCAACAAACTATTTTTTGCGAAAACTTAATATACCGAATATTACTTGATTCGAGGTTAGATTTCGTTACCACGCGAGTTTTGAATCCCGACATCGGCGTTGCAGATAGAGGTGGACCAACAATTACTTGACCAGACATAGCATTCAATCATTTGCAAGATATTAATAGTAGCGACTCGTGAATAGATTCTCCACTTGAAGATTTTAGCACGCGTAAGTTTCAAAGTTCGCTGTGCCCGAGCATCAATCTTTTGCGACCGCCACTTGGTGGTTATCCTTATTATTATACTTATAGGCTCGCAACATTTTAACACGTGATCAATATCCTTAATTTTTGGGCATTCAATTTTTACTTGCTTAATGCGATTTTGACAGACATGACTCGTATAGTGAACGCTAGTCGGCAACGACTTTTAGTAGTTGGAGGAACTGGGTATTTGGGTATACAGCATTCCTGTTGAGAACGCCTGCCATAAACAAGTTTGCATTCGCGTCTTATATGCGTTGGAATTGGATTCGTAGGGTATCGCGTATGCAAAGCCGCTATCCAGCGAAATTGGGAGGTTTTGAGCTTGAGGTATGATGGACAAACGCTCTTTTGTTACATTTAGTACGTTTGGACTTACAAAGCCCATTGGGCATTGGCCTAGTCGTCGCGGTCTTTTACCGAAAGAGACTACACCGTGGGAACAGAAAGTAAGGTTTTCAACTTTGAATATACTAGTTTTTCAAATTATTTTCGTACTTTACCCCAATGAGATTTCCGTACAGGTTACTTGGCTCAAAGGAAATTGTCTTAATCCATCAACATACAGTGATTTGCTTAAAGATTGTACAAGTGTAGTTCACACCGTTGGTACGCTCCTCGAAAACCCCGATTATAAGAAAGTTGTTCAGAGCAAGAGCGTCGTCGAAGCATTTGGAAACTTGCGCATCAGTTGTAAAAATCAAAATCCGTTCAAGAGAGATGCAAATGAAGCAAATAATTATGAGAAAATCAATAGAGATACTGGTATTGCCTTTAATTTCGCGTAAAGATTTGTTATTTAGTCATGTCAAGGAAACAATAATTATGACCCTACCAACATTTAATCGCAGCAATAGCAGTTGCTAACGAGGCGGCGCGTCATGGCAGCGTAAAGTCATTTATTTACATATCGGCAACAGATGTCTTTCCCTTTATAGATTCAAAATATATATCGACAAAGAGGGAGGCTGAATTTGTGCTGTTATCCAAACCAGAGTTTAAAACCGTCATACTGAGACCAGGTTTATCTTTCATTCTCTCATTGTTTTTTCCTTCTAACCTATAAACAGAGATTAACAATGTTTGATTACAATCACGTAGGTTTTATATATTCAGACATGAGGATGTTTTCTTTGCCTATTGCCGGAATGCTCGCTGTTTCAAGTAACATATCCAAGGTTATTCCATTACCTTTATTACCTTCAGTACCTCCATTACATGTTGATACGGTGGCAGAAGCAGCCATCGAAAGCATTGTAAATCAAGAGGCTAATGGTATCTATAATGTCCATGAAATAACAAAGTTGGCTGATGGTGTCGTCTAAACAAATGAGAATGTGTTTGCCTATTGAGATGTCCGCTCTATAACTACGTGAAGTCTAATTTCGTGACAGGAAACGTAATAGCATTCCAGGATGTTGTAACAAATAATTTAAAACATCTTATTTTTCGGAAACTAAACTCTACAACACATCCAATGTGTATTAATCGGAAACAGAGAACAATCTACTGATTGATGAATGACAAAGCCCCCATGTCTCAGGTATGCCGTATGATGTAATTAATAATTTAATTTAGTGCGGATTAATTAATTACTCAAGTTATCATTCATAGTTTTTAGCTGTTAAACACAAAGTAGGTTAGACATATCTATATAATTAGACAAACGCGATGACAAGACTACATACTTTTTTGCTGACATTGTCAGTTTGGTAAATTTCTGCTAAACCCGGAAATCCGTCTAGTTTCATAAAGTTATGTAATAATTAATTAATCAATTAATTAAAGCAATACCGCTAACGGGCAATATAACATTCTCATAAAATACTTGCCTTCGAAATTAAGAACTTCAGATCTCCTTTTCTCATGAATAAACTTCAAACCTGATATTCTGGATGTTAATCCCGTATGCATCGCAATCTCGTTTTGGACTTTCTTGTTCGGATCTTCACTATTAAGATCCACACTAGCCAACAACGGAGATACTCCTGTGTGTAAAGATGTCGTTGAATAGCACAAGGTACTGGTTGGACTGAGTTCCGGTACTGGACTATCCCTATATCGGTCGTTGGTTGGGGTAATTTTCTCTGTTAAGAGATTTGGTAATAACAACAATAGATGCGTTGCATAAATTAATATTGGTCGAAATTAAAGTAAAATGACGTACGAACAAATAGAACCATATCGACTTGCACTTACCATCCCATCCAATAACACAACTGTCCACTACAAATTAGAATAAAGAGTTAATTTTTGGAAAAGTGATGAACCCGGGGGGAAAAAAGCCACGAGCTCCTTACGATGATCCACTGGGAGGCGAGGTGTGCTTTGATCTAGGAAAGGGAGGAAAAAATATGAATAACCCATCGTTTAAAAGTGAAGAGAAAAAGATCAATAGTTAATTACCGGATTCATCCTCATGGTGTTCAATGGCAACTTTCATACATGCTCTTGTCTCGCCGTCATCACTATCCGATAACACCAAACGCCTACTTCTATATATCGCTTCAGAATGTAGGGGTTGTCCATTATTTTGCATTTTTCCGAAATTGCTTAGCCGATACTCTTCAGAATTTCTAATCTCGGTCGCAATGGGAGGAAGATTTTTATCAATAGCGGTACGCCATTTCCACAGTTTCTTTATAATCTTTTCACAGCTCGGACGTTTCTCTGGGTCAGCATCCCAGCATTCCTTCATTAGTTTTGCATAAAACTTTGGAATGCCATGATCGACCTCGGGTCTCTTTCCGTCACAGATGGCAAAGACCAAGTACTCGTCGTGAGCGACTCGAGCAAAAGGTGGACGACCAGTTGCGATCTCCCACATCACCATGCTAAAACTGTATACATCTGATGCTTTGCTGTATCCCTGTCCACGGAAAACTTCTGGAGCTATATATGGAATTACTCCAAAAACCTGTTGCTTTTCCTGAACCCCGTCAACACGTATGGACAGCCCTAAATCTCCTATGTACGAATAACTGTTAGACAGTTGAAGTATGTTACCAGTGTGAAAGTCTCTGTGGATCAATCCAGCCGAATGAATGTCATTCAATCCCTGAGCGATGTAGTAAAGCATAGTTATGCGTTGCGTCCATGTACAGGTAGGAAAATTTTTGCGGAGAAAGTGACGAAGGTCGCCGTATTTGGCATACGGCATTACGAGAAGATAGGATTTCGTCGTCGGGTCTTGAGTGATGCCGAGAAACCATATGACTCTAGATTCGGTAGATGTACGCGTGCTGCATAAGTATTGCGTTTTAAGCTGCATCACATACGTATATATATATGTTCATATACGTATAAAGCGACGGTAATAAACAAAGATAACAGATTGCTCAATTTTAATATAAACATGTTATAATAATAAGATGACAATTGAATTGTCTTATGTCGTAATCATACTTCTCTCACGAAATCCGATGTATCAGATCTGATATTTTTCAATGCCACTTTATACATTTCCCTCCTCAACCATTTTTCTTGTTTGTCGTCCCAATAATTGATGGGTCCATCTTTCCAGATAGCAGAATAAACAGTTCCAAATCCGCCTCTTGCCAAATATTTAATTTCGTCCAATTGATCATGCGGAATCCATTCCAATAATTCATCCCTATGAGTGGCATTGAGTTGTGCTTCGCGGATAAACTCGTCAATGGCTTCATGACAGCTCGTCCAATTGGCGAAATTGTCCTTTAAACGCGCAGAATAGCAAGGATGACAATAGTATTCGCCGGTGAGTTGTTGAAGACATTTACGGCATATATTTAGTTCTCTTTCGTATTCGTCTTCGGTCGAGGAACTTATGGGGATCGAAATCTCGGAATAATCCGATGTAGATGATGTCTCACAATCAGACAAAGATTGCGGCGTAGATGGGTAACTATTTATGGGAGTTTCAGATTCTGCTAGAAGAAAGTCGAACCCTTCCATAAATGTGAAGGATTAGAGAACGTCGAAAAATGAAGATTGAAGAAATCGAGCGACTATTAATAAAGGGGATTACATTTGTTTGCTGTTCTGGTAGAGTAAGATGATTTGCGATTATGTCACACAGCAACTTTACCAATATTTTGGTGCACTTGTCTCCCTGCATAGTAATAATTATTATGCTGTAACACCAAAGATTTATCATGACAGTTTCGTTGTAACATTGTTTATTGATTTACTGTTTGCTTTTGAGTTCTGATTACCTTGCACACATGAAAGCATAAACTAAATAAATTGGCCAGTATAACATAATTGAAGTGAGAAGGTGAAGAAAAGGGTGTAAGTAAAAAGATTATAATTACAGAGTAAATAAAACATACTTTGCAGAATAATGCAGAATGTGATGCATTAATGAATAGTGAATATGAACAATTGCATATAAAAAATGTACGATCACAAACGAGATAAAAAAAAAAGTATATCAACAAATTAACGAATCCCCCCGACTTGAGAGATTCATCCCCCACCAAACAACCAATAATAGCTTAACCTTGTAAATCCATCAACCAAAATGTCCAATATACCATCATAAATGGCCTTAAATACTACCAATAGAAGTAGTCTCAAAAAATTGAGAGTTATCCTTATATTGAATATGTCAAGTAAAATGAAACAAACTCAAAAGTTAAAGCAAAAGTAAACAATTCTTATACAGACTATCCTCACTGTCATTTAGTAGAATGTTTATCGGGATGATACGAAGAGGCACTGCTGTACCTCTCGAATCGATAATGATAACTCTGATCGAGGCTTCTACTATCACGATAAGATGCTTCATTCTTGACTGAACGACTATTTGATGACTGAACAACACTCGCCCTTCCCGCTTCTTGTTCAAAGGCTATATCTCGATCACTAGATCGACTAGGAGATCTACCATAACTAACAGGCGGTACATGCTCTTTGGCGTACGAAACATGAGATCTGCCATAACCGTAATAAGAATCGCGCTCTTCTGTGTATGGACTAAGAGGTCTTCCATAGTTGACAGACGAGCCACGATCTTTTTTGTAAGGACTGGGTGATCTTGCGTATGTGGACATCCTCTGCGGACTGGGTGATCTCGGACAGGTGGAGGAAGACATTCTATCCCGACTCGTGTGCCGTGATTGATACGATCGGCTAGAGGATCCTGGAAGACTAGATAACGACATTCCATCCTGACTAAGTCGACGAGACGTAGAAGACCTACTGGTAGCACGGCTATCGCTTCGAGCTCTATCACGACTCGCACTGCGACTAGACGGCTTGGCGGCAGACCGTTCATACGAGACATCGGGTGGAGCATCGTATACGTCACGACGCTGTCGACTGGGACCGGACGAACCAGATGACCATTCTACGCCTTCCCTAATAGGTTCTTCGCGTCGAGATTTAGGTGGTTTCTTTTCGGCCCCCTTCTTTGATTTTTCTCTGTTAAACTCATCGACTATAGGTTGGGCTTCTTGTATCGTTAGTCCAGCTACTTTAGCCCACCATTCATCGTTATTATCGACTAAGGAATAAATTACTTGGGCATCTACGGTCTTTTCAGCCCACACTTTCACCATGCTTGGATCATCGGCTTCGATCATCTGCATTCTACAGTATTCAACATATTTCTTGTACGACTTCTTTCCTATTGTTTGTAAAGCATGTTGCTGTTTCTTTCGTGTAACTGATTTGCTGACTTGCTGCAACACCTGGATTGCCTTTGACTCTGGGAACGCCTTTAATACGAGATCGATCATATCTTGCTTGAATCCGGGGACTTTCCACACAATTTCACCGAGTGTTTCTGCTGCATTTGCTTTCTTTACTCTTTTCGATACTTCGGATATGATTACTTGCCTGAGATCGTCAAGATAATACTTGTCAGCTATCTTAAGCATATCGATAATCGTCGTACCCGAATTTTCATCGTCATCAAATATAACGGTATTGGTATACAAATATCGAAGCATTTCCAGGAACGTTTCGGGCTTAAAGTCGGGTACGTCGATTATGTAAGTATATAATCCGACTGATTCAAGGGAAGCAAGAGAATCTATATCAGTTTCGCGATTTGCCTGCGCATTGCGTCGACCGGGTTGTTTTCTCACTATCCTCATCCCATAAGCAAAGTCTTCTTCCTTTAGCAGTTTATTGAAATATTCCGATCGCTTCTTTAATATAAAACTGCGTGCGTATATCTGTTTGCCTTGTACTAAAAATTGAACGTCTGCAATGTCACTGTTATTCAGTTCACTCAGCCACGCTTCGAGCAAGTTAGTTGGTATGCCTTTACGGGATAATGGAGTTGTCGTTCTATCGATATCCAGTTTAGCCTCGCTCAGTGATATTCCGATAATGACATTCTTTGTGAGGACCGACTTTCGACAAAAACGGGGAAAACCTAGTAATAAAGAGAATTAAATATAAAGAGATGCAAATTAACACACGTGTTGTCAAGGTTCGATTGCGGTAAATGTTGATGAAACCGATTTATGCAGTTGCGTAGAAAGCAAGAAACACATGGCTAGCGTATTTTCACATACCCCATACTTGCTTCTCTTTGGAATAATTTCCCATTTTCAACTCGACTGGATTAACAATGTTTGAAGAGCTGTAAAAGGTTGACCAGTGTTATTTACATCCTATCTATGTGATGGGGTTTGCCTTACTGCAGCAATCTGAATAACCGACTCACTTGTTTGATCCAGCAGCATCTTTCATCCACATCATGACGTTTACTTTATGTCTTCGCGCCCATAATGTATTTGACAACTCTTCTTCTGAATTGGGTATCGCGCATAAAAAGACCGAACAATGATTTTGGATATCTTTTGGATTCTGTTACAGCAAGACATGCACATATGAATTTCAGACTATAAAAAGACCGACGTTGTGGAAATGACGTGTTATAAACCGAATGGGATATCATACCGGATCAAATTTGACTTGCCAGAAATGATCTGTTGAAGTGGCAAATGGCGGTGTGCAGAACGTGCCTTTGAGTTTATCAACGTTCGATACGATAAACTCAAAACTACACTTTGCGGTGCACGCCTGAGTCGCAGTCATTATTGTGTGAACTGGATGTTATTTACTAGTGCTATATTGTATTATAAAATAAGTCGTGTTAGCGGGTTCCCAGGGGATTTTTGAGACCAACTCCCAGACAAACTAATAGTCAATGCTGTAATATATAACTTTCGACGGGGGATGTAAACAAAGAAGGTATAAGATATCTTTCTTTAGGAGAAAGAGTTAACTCATTACGTCTGGAAGATGGTAAAAAAAATCTCGGGGGAGGGGAGAGGAGGGGGTGTGTTGTGGGTGAGGGGTGTGCAAAAATATCTTCTTCCCGCCAAACGAAATTTTATTATTATTCATGCTACTGGCCCCCCTTAATAAATGAATATCACTTGCAGATTGCATCTCCGTACGAAACAGGAAAAACAAAATAAGATAATGCTTTTTCCGGATGCGATGAACAGCGCATTCGTCGCGATTGTCGTACTATGCGTGTAAACACAAGCCCGTTTAGGAATAACACAAGATTTTCATGGGAGCATGTCATGTGCGGACACTATATTTGAATAATGGATGTAGCCATATTACCATTTTGCGTATTATTAGCAGTCCCATTGAATACGGGGAAAAGATGGATGAATGACGAACAACGATTTACGGCTTGTCGATTACTATTAATTGTTAATCATGGAAATCACAATCATCAATGACGACATGCGGTTTATGATTGTGAACGTGGCAAAAGAATAAAGAATCTTTGACGCATATTCCTTGTTGGGTTGGACAAATTGTGTGCGATGTTCATTTAAAGTAATTGACCCTCGTTTTCACCAACACAATAATTGTTATTCGTGCCACAATCAATCAAAAGTCTAGATTCGATATCTATTGTTGTGCAGCAGAATAAACAATAATAAGCCTGCATATAAATAGAGCGTTCAAATCAGCAGGTTATCATTATATTTATTATATTATTATGAGCGTTTTACCTTTCTTGTCAAAACCAATGAGCTCTCATTGGTCGAGCTTATACAAATAGGGATAATACTAGTATCAGTAACACAAGAAAGACGTACTGTATAACATACTATTCGACACGTTCCTTACAAGGCTCGCACACATGAATTATTCCTGGATCGATAAAAATTGAACATGCTTTCGTTTTATACATGGGCGTCGAAGATGATAATCATGCATAATGCGCCTGAATCTGTCTTGTCGATATGAAACGCACTTGGCCTGCATATAATGCGGTCTATTTTTATTACAACCTCGCCCAAAACCCAACGCAATATCTCTAAATCGGAACCGGCAGCGTAAATGTTAATATCGCTTGATCTGTTTCAAGTTTACAATGTGACTAATGTACTTTGTATTGTTACTAATTATTTAGATTTAAACTTATTTATAATGCATTTGTCTTTCTCTTTATACTCAACACGCTTTATCAAGTTTATCTCTCCGTTCTGTCGTAACAAATTCCACATTCCCAAATGGGCTTTTCCGGCATCAAATAACTAATCTCACTTCCTACTACCTGGACTCTGTAAATCGTTCGTTTAAAATCGAGTGGCATTAGTTTCCCAATAAATGTCTAGAAACTTTATATCACATATCAGATAATAAATCAAATAGCTCTTGACTAGCAGATTAGCATCTCTGTTGGCCTTTACCATGTGTGGTACTGATGTATTTAAAAAGTCAAAGCAAAGCCGAAAACTTGGCGTTTCAATTACAAAAGCCAATGACTGTTAAACCGTGAATGCTAGTCATAATTCCAGTACCAACTGGCGACGTTAATTCTATCTGTAACACGACTCAGGAAGCAAATCGAGATACTGGAGGAAATACTATTCAAGTCGAATATCACAGAGCTTAATATTCATTGATTATGATGTGGCTTTGAGCTTTACTGCGCCCTATTAGTATAAATAGACGTTAAAATTGAAATTGGGGTTTCTTTTATTAATATCAACACATTACCCTAAATTCTAACCAAATTTTCAATATTCATTTTAATCAGATGTCAGTTTCGATCAACCAGAATTTTTGATTGGCCAAAACACGTTACTTAATCACAGAATTTTTCTTGCTGATCGACATCATGGTTCAAAATTCTGAAAAAATGCGAAATTTTTTCTAATCATTAGCAATGAACAGTTCGTTCCCAATCAATTGCGAAATAACCTCATTAGCGTTCGGCTGTCTCTCGGCGGAAGAGATTCGTAAGATCTCAGTCAAAGAGATCAATGTTGCTGCTCTATTTGACGCCATCGGAAATCCTGTAGAAGGAGGTCCATATGATGCTGCATTGGGACCGCTATCAGCACTCGAGATGTAAATTCATTTTGGCAATAGCAAAAATGA